AACAGTAAGGTTAGAGATTACAGATTGCAAAGAGTTGAATCCTACGTATATCTGGGATGACAGCTGAACATGATGAACAATATCGCTCCAGAACTAAATCGGAGAAGACGTGCTGCATGGGCGGCTTTCGGTTCAATTCGTGAAGTGACAGACCAGGTCAACGATCCCGACCTCAAGGCATCGATATTCAGCGCCTCAGTACTGCCAGCGATGTGTTATGTGATTGAAACGTGGCTTGACAATAAAACAATTGCCAAAGCCATAAGGACTTCTCATCACGCGTTGGAAAGAAGTTTCCTGAAAATCAGTCGACGACAACAGTAGCTGCAAGGCTTGCAAAGTTTAGTCCTACAGGAGAGATCGCGCGTGAAAGACCCGCTTCAATACATGGCACATTCGAAGCACCGCTGGGCCGGTCATCTACTTCGTCGAACTGATGACAGATGGAGTCTTCGAGTCACAAAATGGCTTCCGAGAAATAAATGAAGACCGTCAGGACGTCCGCCGACTCGGTGGCCCATTCGTTTTCTAAATATTTCAGAAAAAGCGGCCTACATTTGATGCATGTCGCGAAAGATCGGGCGGCATGGAGGAGCTGTGGTCCCGCTGAGAAGACCCTCTTGCCGATGGACCAGCAAGGTATCAAAGTAAATAAGTAAGTAATCATAACCGTGTCACACCTTGCTGAATGCTGTCAAGAGGTGTCTTCTCCGCTTGCTCTTCATCGATTACGAGAAAGCATGCGATGCGATTTAGTACTTGGGAACTCTACTACTACTTGGGTTTCATGCTTTTCGATAATTTCTTAGCATGTGTTATTGAATTTTACCATGAAGGGAGGAGATCAGGTCAGGAGTGGATTGAACGTTTCTGTGGGTTTCGTGTCAGTAACTCATGTAGTGAACTGTCGTAAAGCCGGCCGGATCAAAGGGACCTGGTGCTGATCAACGACCAACTAGAAAAGCGCCAGCCGACTATTTTCTGTTTTGAAAGTGCCGTTGCTTTCAAAAAAAAGCAGCAACAAACCACACCTACAACGATGTGATTCGAGTGCTGTGCATCAATCATGGATGGAACACGGAAAGACGACTAACTACGGTCGTCTCCTTTGCCTAACACTTTGAAGTCGATAGAAGAACCGGGTTAGTCCGGAATAAGTGAAAACGTGGAGACTGTGACAAGGAAGAGCGTTCGATTGGGCAGAATGTGCTGAACATTGATCTCAAAAACTCGTTATGCTGTAGATAGCAGAACACAGAGAAACTCATCAGCACTCTTTAATCCTCAATATGATTTTTCCATTCACAAATCTCGGCTTCAACAAAAATTGTACGAACTGGAATTTGCAGAATTTTTGTTCATCGAACCTTTCCACCTACTGCGAGTCGATTTCCGTACATCGGTCATCAAAAATAGAGGCTTCCGGAATCACTGTTCATGAACCTTACAGCTCTCTGTTTCCAGAAACGTCGCTAAACGTGTGCAGGGCTGCCATACATCTCATTAAGTCGTGCCCTACTCCATAATATTTTGTATAGCAACGTCGAGCGTGTTATTCAGTCTATCAAAATACAGTGTACGTCATTGCCCCTAGGTCACTCGCCCAAGGTTAGACAGACCATGAACGGGATCCTTTTCAAGGTATCCGCCAGGAAGAAGACGATGTTGAACCTCCTCTCACGACCGTGTTTTCACTCCGATGAAGGGTTGTAAATGTCCTTTTGTGACGCGAGGTTGGCTCAATTTAAGGTAGTCATCATGGAAAAAATCGTCAAAACCGAATTGCGAAATACAGAGGTAGCTCACCAACACCCTCTTTTCCACGTTCCTAACTCCTCTCAAATGTGCCGCCAAAAAGAATGGTTCATTGGTCTATACATTGGATAGGCTCTCCTTGACTAATCTAAAAAATTAAAAAGGCGGTCATCTACGCGCCACTTAAATTTTCATTAGTTAATGTATCAGTGAAAAGGTTATAGGATTATTTTGATGGCGTTATCTGAATCCTGCTTGACAATCTTCGTTCCTTATTTCTGAGGGTACCCCTGGGTGGCTATGCGTTGAGAAAAGTCATTGCCTGCAAACTCACATTCTCGTGATAATTGTCTTCATCTGTACAAGGTGATTCATCCGTTAGCGTTCTAAACTTTTCCATTTGTCAGGCAAGTAAGCCACATCGTCACTTCTGAAAGATTTTCGATTAATGTCAACCATTCATTTCTGCAGTTCTGCAACTTTCGACCGTTGCAACCAATATTCATTGTATTGGTTCGATCAAGCAATAAGCAGACATATGTCTGATGGGTTCAAGGACTGTAGAAGGATTCTCTAGCCCCGGAGATGTCTGCTCGACAGATCCTCAGACCTACAGACGATGCTGGAAAAGTTGCTTTAGTGTTTGTCGTTACTGGTTTCCTTCCGAAAAATTCACTAAATTCATTCAAGTTATGAATTTTTGAAGGGGGATATTTCCGATCGACTACGATTTTTATTTTTGTTGTGATCATAGCTTTTTAATTTTGATATTTTCAGATCAGACTCACTTTTCTCATCAATAACAAAATTTCAGAGGGAAACCCTTGTTTCTTGTTGTGGGTGGTAAGGCGACGTTTAAAGAGTTGTTTGGACGATTGAAGATGTACATACTACTATTCTTTTTGACTATTTCCACTGTAGACTCGAAGGAACTGCTAATCAGTGCTTCCGGTACAAGCTTTTTAAGATACCCAGCCGAGAACTCTTCGTGGTAACTATAGCGATTGATTTGCTTGTTATTTTGTGCCGTTTGTCTTGGACACCATAGGGTGTTTGAATTTGGAAATCAGCATCGATACTTGGACCCCCCCCCTCAGCGAACTTTGATGGGAAGCCAGTGATTTCTACAGGCCAGGTAAGTGCTTGCTGTCCATGACTTTTGAGTTTGATATTGCCTTGGTAGATTCGGTCCTCAAGTCATTCCTAATATTTTAAGGGATATTCTACGCGACTTATTGAAAATGTTATTTTGTGCATTCATTCTGGATTGTAAATCGCAACGCATTTCGTTTATCGTTATTTCGTGCTCAGTTTCTTTTTTTT